CCCACCTCCCCGGCCCTTTCATCCCGCCCCCTGCCACCCCGCCCCTTCCCAGCCGGGGTTCCAGCGGAAAGATGCTTCACTCCCTCGCGCGTTCCGGAGAAACAGAGTCACGCGGGGGCGCGCCGGCCGGGCGCTAGGACCCCGCAGCTTGGCCGAGGGGGGGCGTGGTGGGGCGGGTCGGCGGGAGAGGTATTTAAATTGGATCCCGAGCCGCCCCCTCGCGGGTCGGGTTCCCGTGGGGCAGTGGAGCAGCCGTGGGCCTCCGCGGGCCGTGACCCCGGGGTCTGGCGCGGGGTGGGGCCGTGGGGAGGGTCAGGTTTGCGCAAGATGTGCCGGGGCTGCGCGGGAGAGGAGCGGCGGCCGCGCTGAGCCAGGTAGGAGCCGCCCCGCGGGCGAGGCTGTCAGCCCCTCGGGGAACAGGCTGTCCCGTACCCCTGGAGAGCGCGGGGTGAGACCGGTCCATCCCGATGCACCCCACCTCCGCGCCCCAGTAGTCTTCTCCCGCCGCCGCCCCCATCCCACGCGCGGAGCCAAGCCTGACCGTCCTTCGGCCCCGAGGCTCCTGTCTCAGCTGATCTTTCCCGCGAAGGGAGAGGCCGGCATTCCTATTTGACAGATGGGAAAACAGCGGCCGAAAGGCCGGCACGCTTTTGCCCGGGAACTCACAGCTAGTCAAGGGCAGAACAGGATTTGAATCCAAGTCTCCTACCGCCCTCGGACTCAGACGGATCCGCGCTTCCTATCTCACCGCACCAAAAACGCACCAAATAGCTTGCCCATCTCTGGTGGGGATTGGCGGGGAGGGGGTGGCACCCACGTCTCCCTGAAGGGTTCTGAAGCTGGCCTTCTTCGTGAGTGGTAAGATGTGAGGGACCCCCACCCCCACCCGAGCTGCCTGAAATTCCGCCATCACAGCTACATTCCTTTGGGTTAAGGTCTAATTCCCCCGTGGGATGCACATGTCTCCAGAATGGGGCAGGCCCGTAGTGATTCACTGCTTGGTATGAACATCCACAGCAGCTCTCCCAGGACCCTACCCTGCTGGAGATTGGGGCCGGGAGGAGGGAGAGGAGCACCCCAGACCCCAGCCCTGTGAGCTTGTCTGTGTGTGATAGGGGTGTGGGTGGGCATCGCTGGAGGTGATTAGAGGGGGAGATCTTGGCCTGGTGTAGTGGAAACATTTGCTTTGGAGGCAGACAGACCAGATTCTGAATCCATCTGCTATTTACTGCCTGTGTGACTTTGTGTTAAGTCACCTCTCTGAGCTTTGTAATCCCCTCTGGGGAAAGTAAGAGTAGTTCTATAGAGAGCAGGTAGCTCAGTTATGTGGACCTGGGTTAACCCCCACCCTCCCCAAATGCTTATGAACTATGGGCTAAGTCACTTTATGAGCCTCAGTTTTCTCATCTGTAAAATGGAAATTATGGTAACCACCTTATTGGGTTGTGACTTCAATGAGATAATACAGATCAAGTGCTTAGAACAATGTCTAATGCCCTGAAATAGTAGGGATAGGCTTATTAGAATAGTATAATAGGCATTGCCCTCCCCCAATCTATTTCTCTCTCTTTCTTTCTCTCTCTCTCTCTCTCTCTCTCACACACACACACACACTGTGTGTGTGTGGCATTTGTCCTCCCAGTCAGAGTCCTAAAATGTCTCTTGCCTTCTCTTGCCTAGGCTACTAGTCTGCAGGCCTGGGTCCTCCCTCCTCAACCTGGGCCGTTCAGCCCTCTGAGTCATTGCCCCAGCTGGGAAAGACAGTGTACCTAGGACACCTTCACAGTCATTCACAGCTCGATCATCACAGTGGTTGGAGGAAGCTGGTGGCAGAAGAGCCACCAGGCAACTTGCTGTACAGATGGGACACCGAGGCACCAAAAGGTTAAGGGACTTGCCCAGGGAGCAAGAAGTGGTGGTGTCTGAATGTAAGCCTGGGTCTATGTGACCACAGTCCTCCCTCTTGAGAGTGAGTGGCCCTCACGTGCTACACAGCGAGTCGGGGGCACAACTGAAGGGGGCCTGCACACGAGGTGCCAGAGACTTCTGCTGGATGCACAGGTGCCGCCTTGGGGGTAGAGTGAAATCTGGCAGGTGGAGGAAGAAGGGGGATAGTGAGGGCTCCTTTGAGTGGCCCTGACTTCAGGTTCAGAACCAATCCAGGTCCTTCCTTGTCCTGACCTCACAGCCCCCTCAAGTAGAGCTTTTATCCCTCGCTTTGCCATTTGTTCAATAGATATTTGGTGAGCACCATTTAATAGACCCCTGTTCTCATAGAATCAGAAATAAATTAATAGGAGGGGTGCTTGGGTGGCTCAGTTGGTCAAGTCTCTGCCTGCAGTTCAGGTCATGATCCAGGGCTCCCAGGATGAAATCCCATATGGGGGGGGCGCTACTCAGTGGGGAGTCTGCCTGTTCTTCTCCTTCTGCCTGTCCCCCTGCTCTCTCTCTTTCAAATAAATAAATAAAATCTTAAAAAGAAAGAAAGAAAGTTAGAAAGATAGAAAGGAAGAAAGCTATCAGCAGGAAATGATCAATGCAAGGAAACCAAATGTGTGGGAATCTGGGGAATAGCATTCCAGGCCCTGAGGCAGGAATGCACTTGCTGTGTTTGAGGAATGGTGAGAAAAAAACTAGAATTTGGTAAGGGCAGGGCACATGGTAGATGTGGTCAGAGAGGAGAGTGGGTAAAGCCTGGATTTCAGGGGAGGTTCTCAAGCAGTGAGATTCATGCTCTGATATATGATTTAAAGACAGCACTCTGGCTTTGTGTAGGGGACCACCTGCAGGGGGTCAGTGTGGAAGCGGGGTGCTGCTGCTTTCAGGGCCAAGGGTTGGGGCAGTGCCTCAGTGTGGCATGGTGATGGAGGAGGGAGGTAGCAGACCCAGGATCTGTTTTTCAGGCAGAACAGACCGAACTTGCTGATGGGGGGAAGGAGTATGGCAGGGAGATGAAGGGAGAGTCAAGAAGGTCTCCCCCTGCTGCCCTCTGCCCCCTCCCCCCACCTTGTGTCAGTCTCAGTGCCTCCCTGGCACTGGGTGGGAGGGGAGTAGGGATCAGAGGAAGGAACAGTGTGCTCAGTGCTGTGCTCACTGGAAGCTCAAGGTCTGTGGGAACCTGGAGGATGAGTTCTCCATCATCAGACTTGGGGAATCAGAGAAGGCTTCCTGGAGGAAGGGGTATCTAAGTGGAGACCCAGAGGACGAGGGGAGGCATTCAGCACAAGGCAGGGGAGGAAGTGAAGGTTTGGGGCAATGAAAAGGTGCTCACAGAACTGAAGGAAGTGGGAGGCTGCCAGAAGCCAGAGCGGGAGAGGCAACAGTGAACCAGCCATGAAGCTGGGGGAAGAGCTGGCCGGGCAGACACACTCCCCAAGGGCCTCAAAGGTCCCACTGAGAGGTTTCCATTCAATTCTGAGTACACTAGCTTTCAAATGGGTGGTAATGTTCTGCTTTTTAAACAGCAGAACCAAATTTCCTGTGAACGCAGGTGAGAGGAGAGCAGCTGTGGGGAGCAGGGGGCCCATGGCCTCCAGCTGAAGCCAGGGAATAAGGTTAAAAAGACACCACTGTGGCTCAAGCATGTTTGGGCAAAAATGGGCCTCTGACTAACCATCTTAATTTAAAATTCATCGCAAGGACACTAGTGGATTCCGACAGTCAAAGACCTCAAAGACAGTCAAAGACCTCAAAGGTCCTATAGATGCTGCTTCTTTTAAAGCATCCTTCAGAGTCACAACTCACTTTTCACTTACTGAGCACCTGCGGGTGACCTTCTAGAGTAGAGGTTAAGGGCACGGGTTGCGTGGGCCTGCCACTAGTGAGCTGTGTGACCTTGGTGTGTTACTTAATCTGAGCCTCAGTTTCCCCCACCTGCAAAATGTGGGTGGTAATCGTAGACCCCAGTCCTTGAATTACTGTGAGGATTAAGTGAGTTAATGATTAAACTATCAAGAAGACTGTCTGGTGCATATTAAGGGCTCCGTGAGTGCATTTTCATGCAATGCAGCTCATTTGGTCTTTACCAACACTTAGCAGAGTTGACATTAACCTCAGAAGGGGAAACTGAGGCTCAGAAAAGTGAAGTGACTTGTACGAGGTCCCATAGAAAGTAAGTGGAGGGAGAGAGAGTTATGGGTGACTGAGTCCAGTGCTCTTGGAGGGTTTTGTGTGTCCTTCCTCGTGAACACTCAGTATGCATTCTGGTCCCTTCTGTGCATTTATTTGTGACTCTAGTTCCCAGCACAGAGCCAGACTTGAGGAGGCATTCAGTAAGGTGTGAAAGAGAGAAAGAGAGAAAAAAAGAAGAAAGAGAAAGAAATGACTTGATGCGGACTCATAGCCCTTAACCCAGGTCTTCAGTGAGTCCCTAGCCGCACTGGGCTTTAACTCTGCTCAGGGCCTCTGTGATCCTCCTCAACACCACCTCGGCTGGGCTATACGGAGAAGGACACCAGCAGGCCCGCCCCAGTGGCCCCTGCGCTGGTGGTAACTTCAGTGAAAGTAAAGGGCCTGGAACCTGCTCCTGGGGAAGTCCGCAGCAACAGTGCTGGGGGCAGGGCAGGCCTCCTGGCGGGGCTTCCTGTCAGGGCTCCAGGCCCAGCCTTCAAACAATGGCAGGGACTCCAGAATCAGAAAATCAAAAGAAAAAGGGCAAAATAAAGGTCCAGGGGTGGGGGGATTGAGGAATTCCGTTTGGGGCCTAAGAAACTAGGATGGGGGACCAGCTTAGGGTCTGGGTAAAAATGCAGAGGCCTAGTTCCCCTCCTTACCCCACCCCAGCTCTGAGGTTGGCCCCAGAGCAGCCCTTAGAGTCCCTCTGTCTCCCGCTCACAGCCTCCATGCAGTCTTCCATCACAGAGGGTCTTTTGAAACCCAGATCTGACCAAGTCACCCACTGCCTCAAAACTCTTGTCGCGTGGGGCGACAGCCTAGCCCCTTGGCCTGGCACGAGAGGGCCCTTAGGGTAGGCGGCAGACCCCAGCACACACATCTTTGGTGCAGCTCTGGCTGTGACCTGGGGTTCCCTGAAGGCAGTCCTGACAGGACAGGAGCGATGGGGGCTGGCAGTGAAAAGGAGCCAGGGGTCTTACAGTGTTTCCCTTTCTCCCCACCCTCTGCAGAGCCATGAGCCACCAGATCCTGCTGCTCCTGGCCGTGCTGACCCAGGGCCTGGCCGCCTCCCAACAGCAAGACAAGGCGCCCTGTGAGATGGTAAGAAGCCCTGCCCAGGCGGGGTAAACCCTTGAGGGGTCTTCCTGCCCCAGCCCCAAGAGCCAGAAGGCAGAGGGGTTAGAAGAGGAAAGGGAAGGCATTTAAACCTTGTATTTCATGAGTACCTACTAGGATGTTTAAAGACCTGAGGTGCTCTTCATCCCGTTAGGTAAGTACCATTGTTACTGTTTTATAGAGTTGGAAACTGCAGTTGGGGAGGTTAGATGACTTGTCCAAGGTCATTTGACTAGGACCAGTGGGGCCGAGGTTGGACTCTATTCCTTCCAGCTGCCCCTGCAGGGCAGTGGACCCTCAGCGTGATGCAGAAAATGTGTAGGGAAGGGGTGGGTGAGCTGGGTCCCTTCTGGGCCAAATCCCCTTTGCTAATAGGTCCTTGACTTATGCCCCTCTGCTGCTTCTCTGATGGGATTCCTCTCACTCATGGCTGCCTCCTCCAGGGAGCCCCCTCTCCCCAGCCCCTCCCAGGCTGATCTGGTTCTGGTTGCCCTTTTCTGGACTCTCAGGCTGAGCACATGGGGGAGTTGGTGAATGGGTCCAAGCCTGTTTCACTTGCCAGACCAAGAGCTTCTTCAGGGCAGGGACAAGGTTGGATTCACTTTTGTTCCTTTTTCTTGCCCTTGGCCGGGAAGACTAGCCCTGAAGTCACTGGGACCCTGCGGGATACAGGGAAGAGGGACCACCGAGGTCCTCTTACAAGGCTGGGCAGTCACTGAGGTCAAGGCGGGAGTCAGGCTGGGGAAGCAACAGGCCCTCCAGCAGCCCCACTTGGAGCCGGCTAGGACTAGACACTCCTGACACAGGGGAGGCAGCTACCTCTGGGAGTGCTGGCAGGCAGGGGCCCTCAGCCCTTCCCTGGGGTTGGCCAGGTCCTGCTTTTGCCACCTCCCTTCTTGCTCCTCAGAGCCCTTCTGAGATTCCCAGATCCGAGAATAACCGGCAGAGGAGGCCTCAGACATCCCCAGGTGCAGAGTCCCATTCTGCCCATGGAGAGAGGCTCAGAGAGGTGAAGGTCCTGGACCACCCCACAGGCAGAGGGAAGCTGAGTGAGCTTTGGATTCTGGGGGGCGATAGGCAGGAAAGCACTCTCTGCACTGCTAGGGAAGATCAGTACAGGGATTATGGTCATTTGTAAAATGGTAAAAAGAAATGGCCACAATCCTGAGGGCGGGGGAGGAGCCCACACCGCACTAAAGGCTTTCTCTCATTTTATCCTGCAAAGAACTCCTCTTTTCAGTGGAGGAAACCAAGGCCAAGAGAAGAGATGTGACCTACCAGGCTCATACAGTCAGGAAGTACCAGAGCTAGGGCTTGAACCCAGCTCTCCTGAGCTTATGCTGGCCTCTGCCGGCTACTTTTTTATACCCCGTTTCCCTTCTATGGAAAGACGGCCAAATGGAGTTGGGTGGCAAGTCCTCTTCCTTCCTTTAAAAAAAAAAAAAAAAATGGGGACAGTGGCATCCTGGCATCCCAGAGAGAATGGGTCACAGGTTGTCAAGGGGAGCTCTGAACTTGGCTATGTCTGTCATGCTGGAGACTCAGAGCTCAGGGGTGGGGGGCGTCTTTAGAAACAGAGATCTGAGAGCAGCCCTGGCCTTTAAGCTTCCTTCTGGATCGGTAGCCCAGTGCCGCCCTGCTGACCAGCAGCCACGGCTGGGCCCTGTATGCACCACGGTAGAAAGCTGGGAATGGTCAGCTTTGTGTCCCGGCTTGGCTCTCAGGCGTTGGTGTCCCGGGAGCCTTTGATATCCAGAGGTGAAATGAGGTGTGGGGTCATGTGGATGCCAGTACAGTGCCCACCACACAGCAGAGGCTCAGTAAATGCTGGCTGGTACTATTTACCTTGCTGAAAGAGTCAGCCTGGGTCCCTGGCTGGCACCAATAGAAAAAGGAACTTGTGGGGGTACCCTGGAGCCTCTAAGCTCACCCCCAGGGTTCAACAGGGTAACAAATGCATGCCAGGATTAAATGAGGAGAGGGGTCTATGCACGCAGCCATGGAGCCTGCCATGGAGCTGGTGCTCTGTGACAGTGGCAGTCATGCTGTTCCTTTTGCGTTTTCCTCCTTCAGTCAGGATGGTCCAGGGAGCGGAGGAGAGGGTTGAGGAGGCCGTGCCCAGTCGCCTGAGCTGGCGGAGAGGTTGTGAGGAAGGAAGCGGCAAGAGCCAGGCAGGGCCCGCAAGGTGGCTGGGCTAGGCTTGTGGAAAAAGGAATGAAAGTGCCCGACAGCAGCGGTATCCATGCTGGAAAAGCTGCTTGGCTGGAGGTGGTAGGACCAACTCACGGGACTGCTAGAGCAGGAAGGGTCACACCTGGGCCTGATGAGGGCAGTTCTTCCCCCCCACCCCCCACACTCCCCTTGGAGCTCTGGGGAGGAAGCTGAGAGCTGGGCCAGGCAGGGAGCACCCTCAGGCTGGTGTTCCTGCCCCAGGGGGCTCTACCACTCACTGTGACCTTGCACAGGTCACTGCCATCTTCAGGTTCTGTCTGCCCATCGGGGAAGTAGGGAAGTTGGAGTCTTTTTACTCCAATGGTCTTTAACTCCAGTTAGAAGACATGGATCGTCTTGTTTTCTTTCCTTCCCAAAAGGTGATTGATTCAATCCCTCAGTCTTTTACTAAGCCAGTGATGTCCATGACTCATTCATTAAAAAAATGCATGGAGCACCTTTTGTGGGTCAGGTCCAAGGCACCCACACCAATCACACCAATCCCTGTTAGCTCTGAGCTCCCCACCTGGCAGATCCCACACAGACTGTCAAAATCAGGGGCCAAATTATGAGAAAGGGAGCACTGGGGCGGTGAGAGCCCGGAGGAGGTCCCACCTGCCTAGCTCAGAATACCAAACACCAAGTTTCCCTGCAGACCTGGGCAGGGAGGGGCGGGGATGACCAGCACGGGGACCAGCAGGGAGGAGGCCCAGAGGTAGGGGTGCGAGGGCACAAAGAGCAGCAGTCCGGTGTGCTCACTGTGTATGGGCTGGGTTTGAGTGGGTTGGGAGGAGAGAGGACAGGTCAGCAAGGGCTAAGGACAGCCTTGAACCCTGCTGAGTGTCCTGGATTTTGCCCAGGAGTGGTGGAAGCAAAGAGTAGCCCATAGTAGAGGTTTTCTTTTAGCAGTTGCCAGATGTTAGGCAGGTGGAGGGGTCAGAAGGGGTCAATGGGTACAGAAAGCCCAGGGCCGGAGTGGGCCCTTGCTGGGTGATTGTGGAAGTCAGACCCTTTCCTGGGAAAGGCTGGATTCCTGGGGTCTTCAAAAAGGTGAGAGGGAGACTGTATTTGCACAGAAAAAACAGATCAGGCTCCAAAAGGCACATGTGCTAGAAGGACAAAGTTGGCCTTCTGTTGTGAAAAGATATGGGTTCAAACCCCAGCTCTGCTCCTCCTCAGCTGGGTGACCCTGGAGCCCCCCTACCCAATATGAGCTTGGATTTCTGAACAGAGGGGTGATCATATTTCATGGGCTTGCTCTCGTGAGGCTCCAGTGTGACCATGGGCCTGAACGTGCTAAATAAATGTGAAACGCGGAGTGCATGCTGGGGGAGGGTGCTGCTTTCCAGACAAAAAGCCCAGAGTGGTAATGTGACTTGGTGAGGCTCACAGAGCAAAACCATAGTCTTGTCACTGAAGAATATGTGTGGGACCCTGGCCATCTTTCCCCTGCTACCCACCCCTGCTCCCATCTCCAGGGGCCAATCTGGACAAGGCCATGGAGGGCCAGACCACTGATGGAGGTAGGGCAGGTGACAGCAGCAGAAAGGAGGGCTCATCTGGGGGATATGCAGTGAGAAAGGCAGACACTGGGACCTAGAGCTCTGCCTCGTGGAATGAGGGCTTGAATGAGGTCTGAGGAGGCCAAAATAAAAACCAGTGAGAGGAGTGTAAATTGCATTTTGGAAACCTTTCTCCCCAGATGGCTTTTGTTGTAACAGCCGCTGGGCAAATTTAACTATCTGGGCCCATAAAAGGAACCCAGGTTGTGAACCAGGAGGCCCCCCGGGTTCCAGCTCGGCCCTGCTGTTCACTGGCTTGGGGTCCCTCTGGGATATATAAGGCTCAGTTTCCTGTGTAATGGGGTCAAGGCAGTATAGGGTGTTTTGTGAGTTCATTTGTCCTCATATCTGTCTGTCCTTTCTGTGCCTGTGTATCCATGAAACTTCCTTAAGTCCCTCTCTGATGCCCAGCACAGTGCCGAGTGCCAGAGATGGGGACAGGGAGCAAGACAGGGATGGTCCAGATGTGGGAGGGTTGAGCTGGGACAGGGGAAGAATGTGCATCTTGGGAGCCGCAGGAGAAGCCTTGCTAAGCCTGGCTGGAGTGGGGGAGGGGCTCGAGGCATCCTTCCTAGAAGGTGTGCCTGGTTCCACCCCCTGCTGTACCCACTCACACCCACTGCTCTCCCTGTCATCCCCAACATACCCCAGGTCGACAAGGAGGTATCGTGCCAGGCTCTTGGCCTGCTCCAGGTCCCGTCGACGCTCCCGCGGGACATCGAGGCCCTCGACCTATCAGGAAACCACCTGCGGAGCATCCTGGCCTCACCCCTGGGCTTCTACACGGCACTTCGCCAGCTGGACCTGAGCACCAATGAGATCAGCTTCATCCAGACGGGGGTCTTCCAGGCCCTGCCCTACCTGGAGTACCTCAACCTGGCCCATAACCGCTTGGCGGCGGGCACCGTGCTGAGCACCCCTGGCCTGGGCCCCCTGCCTCGTGTGACCTCCCTGGACCTGTCCGGAAACAGCCTGTACAGTGGCCTGGTGGAGCGGCTGCTGGGGGAGGCACCCGCCCTGCGCGCCCTCTCGCTGGCGCAGAACAGCCTCACGCGCCTGGGCCGCCGCACCTTCTGGGGCACACCCGCGCTCGAGCGGCTGGACCTCCACAGCAACGTGCTCATGGACATCGAGGATGGAGCTTTCGAGGCCCTGCCCCACCTGGCCCACCTGAATCTCTCCAGGAACTCCCTCACCTGCATCTCCGACTTTAGCCTCCAGACCCTGCGTGTGCTTGACCTGAGCTGCAACAGCATCGAGGCCTTTCAGACGGCCCCGGACCCGCAGGCTGAGTATCAGCTGGCCTGGCTTGACCTGCGGGAGAACAAACTGCTCCACTTCCCAGACCTGGCCTCGCTCCCCAGACTCCTCTACCTGAACGTGTCTAACAACCTCATCCGGCTCCCGGCGGGGCTGGTCCAGGGCGGCGAGGGCATCCACGCACCCTCTGAGGGGTGGTCGGCCCTGCCCTTCTCCAACCCCAGCCGGAATGCCAGCAGCCATGCCCTCTCCCAGCTCCTGAATCTGGATTTGAGCTACAATGAGATTGAGCTGGTCCCTGAGGGCTTTCTTGAGCCCCTGACCTCCCTTCGCTTCCTGAATCTCAGCCGGAACTGCCTGCGAGCCTTTGTGGGGCTGCGTGCTGACTTCCTGCCTTGCCTCGTGCACCTGGATGTGAGCCACAACACGCTAGCGACGCTGGCGCTGGGCACCAGAGCCCTGGGGTCCCTGCGGACTCTGCTTCTCCAGGACAATGCCCTGCAGGACCTGCCCCCGTACACTTTCGCCGGCCTGGCCAGTTTGCAGAGGCTGAACCTTCAGGGAAACCAGGTCAGGCCTTGTGGGGGGCTGGCGGAGTCTGGGCCCCTGGGCTGTGTGGCCTTCTCTGGCCTGTCCTCCCTCCGCATCCTGAACCTGGTGGGCAATGGGATGGAACGGCTGCGGGCGGGTGCCTTCCTCCACACGCCACTTACCGAGCTGGACCTGTCGGGGAACCCGGGGCTGGATGTGGTCTCGGGGGCCCTGGCAGGCCTGGAGGCCTCCTTGGAGGTCCTGGCCCTGCAAGGCAATGGGCTGGCTATCCTCCAAGTGGACCTGCCCTTCTTCAGCTGCCTTAAGCGTCTCAACCTGGCCGAGAATCGCCTGAGCCACCTGCCGGCCTGGACGCAGGCCGTGTCCCTGGAGGTGCTGGACCTGAGGAACAACAGCTTCAGCCTCCTGCCGGGCAGTGCCATGGGAGGCCTGGAGTCCAGCCTGCGGCGCCTCTACCTGCAGGGCAACCCACTAAGCTGTTGCGGCAATGGCTGGCTGGCTGCCCAGCTGCACCGGGGCCATGTGGATGTGGACGTGACCCAGGACCTGACCTGCCGCTTCGGCTCCCAGGAGGAGGTGGCCCTGAGCCACGTGCGCCCCGAGGACTGTGAGAAGGGGGGACTCAAGAACATCAACCTCATCATCATCCTCACCTTTGCGCTGGTCTCGGCCATCCTCCTCACCACCCTGGCCACCTGTTGCTGTGTCCGCCGGCAAAAGTTCAACCAACAGTACAAAGCCTAGAGAAGCCAGGGGGCTGCAGAGTGGCGCAGTGGGGAGACCTTCTGGGTCAGCCGGGGAGCCAGAGGCCCAGACAGGGGTGGGGACTGACCCAAGGTCACACGGTGAGCCAGGGTTAGGGAATGGTAGTCTCTCCATCCCAGCCCAGGGCTCCTCTCCTCATGTCCCGCAGTCATGGTGGGCGACCCACATCCCAGGCCACACATGGGGTCCGGCCATGGGGTCTGGAAGTTGGGCACTTTCAGGAGCGACAGAGAATAAGGCTGACCTGTCCGATCAACAGATCTCTGCCAGGCATCTGTTCCATGCCACATCCAGCTCCAGGCGCTGGAGATGTCGGTGAAGGAGACACACCCCTGCCCTCAAGGGTTCCAAGTCCTGGCAGGGAGCTGCTTGTGAAGCCACGTGGTGACCACACAGGGTGGGAGGCCAGGGCTCCGGGGCGCTGCAGTTCCCCAGCTGGCTGGGGAGTGGAGGGTCTCACCCCTGCCACGGCCAGAGTGCAGGAGGGGCGAGACCAGGAAGACTCATCTGAAATGTATCCAAGCAAACCGTTGGTCACATCTTCCCATAATGACTTTCAGCTTCTCTGGAGCATGAAGAGCTCATGCATGGAAGGGAACCGGAGGCCCACGAGTAGGTCTTGGATCTGGCTCTGTGGCTGCAGCAGCTCCCATGGAGCCTGGAGTTCCCACCCCAGTGCTGGACCATTCCATTTCCGGCTCCCACAGGCTCTTTCTCTGCCCGGCACTCCCAGGGTGCGGATACTCACCCCAGTACTGCTCTAGCCGCCCACCTCCCTCCACAGGCACCCTGTTTGTCCCCAGTGCCCACACCCTGGCTGGTGAACCAGGAGTTAGAACCTTAGGTCTCCGGTTCTGTTTTACACCTGGCTTGCTGGAGGTGGGGAGGTGTCTGCGTCTTCATGAGGTTGCTCTGAGGTTGCTATTTAACCCATTTTACAAAAACTCCCAAACTCTCCCTTCAGGGTCCTCCAGCCAAGAAACGCCAGACCTGAGATTCAGGCTCAGCTCCTCCTGTCTCCTCTGCCTGACCTTTGCCACTGTGGGGGCAGTCGGCTGTGAGATGGACAGGAAATGGCTCCATGTTGAGGGAGCAGGGCCTGGGAGCATCCTTTGGGCACATGTCCACCCACTCCTCTCCCTCCTCTCTCCCTGGCAGGCAGACCCAGGCTGCCTCCTCTGCCGCAGTTTCCCTTATTCCCTCCTTTGCAGGCTGGTGTGTGCTCACCTTTTTCTCTTGCTCTTGTGTTCCCTGTTCATTGATCAAGAGCTTGGAGTTTGAGACCATGGAGGCCAACCTCACCCATTGCACAGATAGGGAAACTGAGGCTGAGGAAGAGACTGGAACTTAGAGATTCACAAGCCAGTGGCAAAGCCCATGACTAAAGTGGATTCAGAGCTCATTGCGGGTGACTTGGGGGCTGGACCTGAGTGATGTCCTTCTCGCTCAGCTGTCCTATCACAAGATAATTCTGGCTCCAAACACTTTTGGGTCCTCATTATGCAGGGACTTTTTCTACCCTGCAAGAGTGGGTAGAACAACCCATCTAGATATAACCCCCTTTTCCTTATGCCCTTGGAATCATGGCCTGTCCAGGAGGCCCGGGGTCAGCCCAAGTCCCTCTGTTGTTGTCTTCACTATCTTACCCATGCTTGGCCCTGGTCTGGCTCATGGTGGTGCTTGGTAAAGTGCGAGACAATGAAAACACCCTTCTCTCTGCCCCATTTTATAGACGAGAAAACTGAGGCCCAGAGAGGGTCAAGGACTCAGGGAGTCTGTGGCAGAGCCGAGGCTAGAAGCTGGTGTCCTGGCCTCAGCCTAGGGCCCTGGTGGCATGTGGGGCAGCCAGGTGGACCCAGTCCTGGTTGGGATCACAACCACAGGTGCTCACTGCACAGAAACACTCTTCCTCAGGCCTGGAGGGCAAGGTGTGGGCCCCTTCAGGCCTGATTTCTGAAAACACTACACAATGCTGCTCTCACCTCCAGGAGCCAGGCCACAACGCTGGCCTGGGGACCAGCTCTTTGTATAACCCACATGAATGTATTAAAATATAATTTTGGAGAAACAGCGTCGCCTGCCAGCCTCCTCCTTGCTGTGCACCGTGGGCGTCATTGCACCCACTTGAACTCCCTCTGCTTCCATCATAGTCTTTGAATCCTCATGGCAAACACCACTGAGGGGAGACTGAGGCTCTGGGTCCTTACCACCCTGGACCTTGGGGCCTCAGCCCTCATTCCCTGGCCACACTTTTGACCCTCACCTTCAACAAGCCTGAATCCCCCTCCCCCAGCCCTTCCTTCTTGCGCAGCTCCTGCTCTCACTTCTCTCTCTGCTTAGTCCCTTGCCTCATGGCAGAGGCCGTGCTGTCTGTCCTGCCTACCCTCTGGGGCCTCCCTCTGCAACTTCTCTTCTCTCTTCACATCTCCCTTTCACACCGTGGCTGTGCTGAAGTCTTGCCTATCTGAAAAATAGTAAAAAGACTCTTAAACTGCTTTCCCTTTCCTTTTCCTTCATGGGCAAACTTCCTAATGAAGCAGCCCTTTCCTCCTCCCGTCCATTCTCAACTCACCCCAGGTGCCTTTGCCCTCCCTGCTCCCCCACCCCCACACTGCCCAGGCTGAGGTCACCAAGAATATCCTTTGCTGAACTCTGTGCCTTCCAGACTGTGCCTCCTTATCCTCTCAGCGGTGGGGGTCCCTCACCCCATCCTCCCCGTCCCCCATGTCTTCCCCTTGGCACACTCTCTCTGGCATCGAGGCCCCCCACACTGGTTCCCACCTTCCTCTCACACCACTCCTTTTCAGACTCTGTAATGCGCTCATCTTCCTGGAGGCATCTGAGTGGCGCTCAGATGGACTTGGTCCCAGGCCCTCTTCCCTCAAGAATGTTATCACCATCATTGTCATAGCCACTCCATTGCTCTGATGATGCCCATGGCTCTGTCTCCAGCCCCAGCCAGCCCTGAGCATCCAACTCTGATACCCCAAGACCCAGAGTCCTCCCCAGCTGGAGAGCTAAAGTCCTTCCAGGGGCCAGAGAATTGAGTGAGTGGTCAGGCTGCCATTCAAGACTGACCTTGAAGAAGAGCATTCCTGGTTCCTGGCAGGGAACTGGAGGGTGAGGGTGTGGGCTGTGAGTTCTGGGCAAAGGGACAAGAGCCACCTCACCTGTGGTGGGGTTGGGGAGCAGGTGAGGGACTCTGAAATGGGGTCAAGAGGTCAGGGAGTTCTCCCACCCTCCACTTTGCAGACTCCTATGCCTGTCCTCATGTGGCCCTGTCTCCCCTTCCCAGCCGCCTGACTCCTAGACCCTACCCCCTTTGTCGGTGCCTAGCTTCTCTTCCCTACTTCCTCTCCCACAAATTCCAGCTCAGTGATGCTCCACCTCTTCTCTCTCCAAACATCCTGGAGATTTCTCCAAGGCAGCTTCTCTGGGCTTGACCTCTCACCTCCCAGTTCCTACTCCAAAGGAGTAAGAAGGCATGTGACTCTCTGGCCTGGCATACAGTAGGTGCTCAGTGAAGCCTCAGGGAGGACAACAGCATAGGCTGAGCTCAGCCCAGGGCTCTGCGGACCTCCTAACCAGGTGGAGCCCGCCAGGCCCCTGGTTCCTTTTCCTGGCAAAAGGGGGAGTTTGCTTACCTGGCCAAAACCCCCAGCAAAGCAGAAATTCCTGTTTTCAGCCAAACATGGACACAGCTGCCAACTAGGTCATCAGAGCCTCCGGCAAGCTCCAGGGAGGGGGAAGCCCTCGTCTACCCACATCTCAGCCTGTAGTGCCAGGCCACCCAGCCCAGTCAACTCAGTAAGCTGCTATGGTGCTCCGGGAGGCTCCCAGGCCTGGCAGGCAGGAGGGGAGACAGACAGCATCCATGGCTCGGTAGCTACCTTGACTTCTCAGTCCCCTGGAGTGTCACCACTCCCCAAACCCTGGAACCACAGTCTGCTTTCTGTGCCCCGTCCCTCCAGCAGCTTACAAGGGCCCCGCGATCCATCTCTCTCTGGTCACATCCAACCCTATGCTCCGAGCTGACAATTGTTGACCACTTCCGGGTCAGCCCTGCACTGAGCTCTTGATATATATTATTATATTTAATTCTTACCATCTTTGAAGAGATTTCTATTATTATCAACCTCATCTTAAAGAAACGGAGACTCAAGTTCCCACAGCGGTAAAGCACCAGAGCTGGGATTAGAACCCAGGTACGTCTGGCTCCAGAGCCAGCAAGTGTAACCTTGGGGCTCCCAACCTCCCACACCAGGCTCTCTCCCATCTCCTCCACCTGAAATGTCTCACCCGCTCCAACCCACCTGTTGGTTGGTACTCCTGTTTCAACCCCGGCCGATACCACCTCTTCTGGGGAGTCTGTCCTGATTTCCCTCCACATGCTGTGGGCCATAGCGGTGGGGATCTCTGCTTCACCTGCCAACAGACCAAGAGCTCCTGGAAGGGGTTCCACCCGAGTCCTTTCTGTGTCCCCAGGCCCATGAGCCAGCACAGAAGGTGGGTTCAGAAAAGATTTCCTTCCCAATGCAAAAATCCAGCCCTGCAGGACTTGAACCCTTGTGCGGATTAAGCTCGGGCCTCAGAAAGAAAAGGGGGTGATGGGTTCTCAGACAGATGCAGGGGACCCAAAGGATACAGAGCGGAATGCAGGACACAGGATGGGGGCTGCCTGGTGCACAAGGGTCCAGTGAAGAGGCAAAGGAAATACCTTCTCTCAACATCCTCTACTTCCCTCCACTTTCTTCTTGCCTCTGGGACCCTGTCTTGTCTTCTCCTTCCTTTTCTCCTTCCCCCACTCTTCACTTCTCTTTTCCCTCCCTTTGTCATCTCTCCCCCGGCCCCGACCACCCCAGAAGCAGTTGGGGTTGTGGTGGCTGAGAGTGAGGAGAGGCAGAGGGGAGGGAGGTGAGCTGTTTATAGGAACTGGAGCAGCTCCATCCATCAGCTCTGTTTGCAGCGGGAGACCAAGCATAATAAATACCTTGGCTCCTCCCCAGCTGTGCTTTTTCCTGAACTTGGCCGTTCGAACTCCAAATCTCTCCGGCCTGCTGGTTCTCAGGACCCAGCTCCCACCCCACCCCACCCTCCTCCCACCTCCCACCAAGCTGCCCTGGAAAGAGCCCTGCCTCTGGGACCAGGAACACAGGCTGTGCTTTGGGTAGAAGGGCAAACCCATCTACTTGTCTGTGCCTCCATTTCCCCATCCCTAAAATGGGGTCATGATCACGGCCCACCAAATGCACAGTGCTGCTCATGTTTTAGGCCCGAGTAGCTTGAGCACTGGCTCTGTGCAG